GTTTTTTTTTTTTTTTTTTTTTTTTTTTTGGTACTAGGGATCAAACTCGGATCCTTGTTTTTGTGAGGCAGGCACCAGAACCACTGAGCTAAATCCCCGGCCCTAGAACAGTTGATTTATCACAACTCTTTTCTGCCAAATTTCCCATTTCATTTTGCTGCCCAGTAATAAAAAAACCAAACATAGCATACATTTTATTTATTTTAAAAGTTGTCTTCTTCTCTATAATATAAACTCCAAGAGAGCAAAACCTTTTGTTTCCAGCATCTATAATGGTGCCCGCCATCTACCTAGGAGACTCAGTGAACATCTTTTTGTGAATATCTGAGCATCATTTTCCTACATTCCATGATCTCATCTCATATTGCTGTGCATCAGAACTGAGGCTGAAGTTATAGGTGAAACTGAGGCATGAAGTCAAGTATTTCAAAGGCTTATCTAAGAAACAGAGCTTCTTTTCCTCAGGGCTCAGGTTTGGTGCTTTGTTTTGGTGCCAGGGATTAAACTCAGGGCCTTTGTGCTGAGCTGCATCACCAGCCCCATCAGTACTTTTTCTTGAGACAGGGTCTTGCCAAGTCACTAAGTCACTGCCAATCGCCCAGTTGCAATCCTCCTGCCTCAGCCTCTCAGAGTGCTGGGATTACAGGCATGTGCCACTGTGCCTGGCTTCCCACTCCTTTTTTCTTAAACTCTGAGACATGTTCTTGGTAAGTTGTCTAGGCTGGGCTCAAAGTTACTATCCTCTGCCTCAGCTTCTCCAGCTCTGAGATAAAAGGCCCATGCCCCATGCCTTTCTCTGGCTCTGTATTTTGGTAGCCACAGTAACTACTCACCTGACAAACTCCTCTTCAATTATTGAGTGGTTCCACAGGTGACGAATGTCCAACTGGAGGAGCTGTGTTAACAGCTGAAGAACTGGCTGCCTCTCTTCTTCCCAGTCAAAACCATGGGTTGCTTTGCTCCGAGATTTCTTATTCTGAAAAAGAAACAATGAACAGTGGGCCCAGATCTGCCAATCTGCATGCCCAAACTATCTACTTCAAGACAAGGTTGACGGTAACAGAAGCATGACAAGCACTGAAATGCAGAGGAAGGAAGAATGCACAGGGAAGGTGGTGGGACACGTCCGAGCACTTCCTTCTAGCCCCGTCCGAGGACAGCAGTGTTCTCAGAATCACTGGATTCCCTTGGTTCCTGTCAATTCCCCTCTTCCCCATACAGTTAGGCAGGAACTGAATTACCTTCCCGCCCACATCCAGGTCCACAAGGCTTGTCTGACTGGCCGTAGTTTCGAAGGATTCCAGGAGGCGTATGAGGGCATAGCAGTTCATCTTGAGGGCATTGAGGTGGGCACTTCTGTCCGATGCACTCAGAGTTGCATCCTCCAAGAGGGCTGGAAGCTCCTGGGAGTGGCGGGACACCACTGTAAGGGGCAGAATCTGCGAGTTGGTTTCCTTTACTTTCCTCATGCCCTGTAATCTCATAACATCCAGCAGCGGCAGCCATCAGATTACCAAAGATCTGTGTTTCATCTCTCAGTAGCCATGAGAGAACTAAGTCCTCTGAGACCCCGGACCCCAAGTGAAACCTGGAACACGCCCTGTTCCTACTCTCATTCCAGTTAGCACAATTTCTCCCCGGCAACTGGGAGAAGCGGTTTCCAAGTAGGAAGAAGTTCTTGTTGGTCTGCCCTTACAGTGGATGCACATAACTCTGCATCACCCACCAAGATTACAGACCACCACAGGTCCGGGTCCCGGGCTTAGCCCGACCAACTGAATCACAACAGCCTTGATATCATCATGTGGCCGAGAAACTGCAGGAGATAGGACACACACACGAACACTTTCCATCCCCTACCCCCGACCCATAAACACCTTTTGTCAGGAATTCCAGAGCATCTTCCTTGAGGCCAGGATCTATACTTCGAAAGTGACTAAGGGAAAGAAAGTGTGGGGGTGAGACAGGAGCCTGCAGAGCCCATTCCAACAGCACAGAGCTAATTGAGGGGACCCAATGCTGGAAAACACACGTGACCTGCTCAACTGGACAAACATGGTGGTGAGTTGAATAAATGCTCCCAAGGAAAAATAGGAGCACCCAGAACCATGTGTCAGTGACTCTGTAATTTGGAACTTCAAGACTGACATGCAAAATCAGGGCAAATCACCACCAGTTTTGTTTAGGGCACTAGCTGGATATTTTACTTACTGTAAAATGCTATAGATGGTATCAAAGTGTTCCAGGATAGCTAGGGGCCCCTGAGCTCGGAAGGTGGCCTGAAATGCTACAAAGATGAAAGAAACTCATCAGTTTAGAGGGAGACAGGATGTTTTTGTAAATTCTATCCACAATGCTTTGAATTGTCATGTTTCTTTAGTCTTCTGCCATCTTTCTCTTTCCTGACCCTGGTATTTTTTTGAAAAGTACTGATCTGTTATTTTGAAGATTATCTTTCAAGTTGCCTGGCATTTTCTCCTAATCATACTGGAATTATGCATTTTTGGCAAGTCTATCACAGAAAGGAGGTTTGTCTTTCTTATCTATCATGCCAAGAGGTGCGTGTCAATGTCCTAACTTGGATCACTGAATGACTGCCATGTCTCCCTCCCCTCATTATTTTTGTTTTGTTTTGTTTTTTGAGACAGGGTCTCACTATGTAATTAAGACTGACCTAGGGCTGCGGATTTAGCTCAGTGGTTCGGTGGCCTGCCTTGCAAGCACAAGGACCCGAGTTCAATCCCTGGTACCAAAAAAAAAAAGACTGACCTGGAACTCACTATGTAGCCCAGGCTGGTCTTGAACTCATAGTGATCCTCCTGCCTCAGACTCCCAAGTGCTGGGATTACAAGCGTGTGCCATCATGCCCAGCTTCCCCTTATTATTATTATTATTATTTTTTGGTTCCAGGGATTGAACTCGGGTCCTTGCGTTTGCAAGGCAGGCAGTGGAACCACTGAGCTAAATCCCTGGCCTTCCACTTATTATTAAGCACAGTAGTTATATTACATATCACATTCATGGTACATTAATATGCACTGTAGTGACACCCAGCCAATGGTGAACTGACTGCATGTATGACAGAGAACCCACATGACTACTTTAGGATATTTGCACAACGATGAAAGTACAATGATGAGAGTACGCTGTCCATAAGCTGTGCGTGACCGAATCTTGTCGGAAAGTACTTTAGAGCTTGGTGTGGTGATGTGTGCCTTTTAATCCCAACACTTCAGGAGGCTGAGGCAGGAGGATCATGAATTTGAATTCCATCTGGGCAATTTAGCAAGATGCTGTCTCAAAATAAAAAAGAGCCGGGGGAAAATGGGCGTGGTGGCACACACCTGTAATCCTAGCACTTGAGGGGCTTAGGCAGGAGAATCATTGTGAGTTCGAGACCAGCCTGGGCTACACAATAAGTTCCAGATCAGTCTTAACTACATAGTGAGACCCTGTCTTAAAAAAAAAAAAAAAAAAGCTGGGGATGCAGCTCAATGCGAAGGCCCTGGGTTCTACTCCCAGTACTGGGGGACGGGAATCACTGGGCACTCCTTCAACTTGGTCTGTGTGCTCTGGACATGCTGCTCCCTTATGGTCTTGCACAACGGGTTTCAGGCTTGCCTTGACCTTGCGCTGGCCCACCCTGGCATCAGCCACTCATGCACAGATTAACACCATCAGAAACAGAGGTCTAGGGCTGGGGATTTAGCTCAAGTGGTTCCACTGCCTGCCTCACAAGCATAAGGACCCAAGTTCAATCCCCTGTGCCAAAAAACAAACAAACAAAAAGAAACAGAGTTCTAAATTACTTCTCCCCTGTTAAGATACAAAATTTCTCCCAATACCAACAAATTTATTCCCCTGGCAAATCCAGGTTAAATCTGCTATCTGCTTACTCCATTCAACATAGCTGCATAGATAAAAATGGGCTGAGAATAACACAAACCAAACCTGCTGCCTCTACTCTCACTTTAAACTTATGACTGCTCAGGCGGCAATCATAATTCCTCTTATGCCTTTATCAATTCTCAGGTCTAAACTGGATGTGGTGGCATGTGCCTATAATCGCAGCACTTCAAGAAGCTCAGGCAGGAGGATAACACAGTCTAGGCAATTCAGCAACTTAGCAAAGCTGTGTCTCAAAACAAAAATAAAAAATGGGCAGGGGATGTTGTTCAGTGTACACACCCTGGGTTCAATTCCCAGTACCACAAGACAAACAAACAAGCAAGCACATCTCTAATCTCAGCTCCATTCACTTGTCCCGGTGATCATTTCCCAGCTTCTCCCCTGCTTTTCCATGGAGACATCCCTAGGGTCAGGGCCCCCCTTCCTGTCTCAGTGAGGAAATGGAAGCAGATAAGCAGATAACAGAACTCTCAAGTGTCCCCATTTCCACATCACCTGCGTCTCTGCCCTGCCCGTGGCCTTCCATTGCCACTGCACATAAACTGTCCCTATTCCAAAAAAGCCACCTCTTTCTCTACACAGGAGACCTTGTACTCTCTTACTAAAGGACACTGCTCCAGGAATTACTCCTCCTTCCTCAGCGGCGACACAGCCTCCCCTCTCCCAGAGTGCTCCCATTTAGTATAATGCATAGCACATGGTTCTTTTCTTGGTGTTACTGGGGACTGAACCACATGCCAGGCAACCTCTCTACCTACACCCAGTTCTTTTTCAAAATTTGAGACAGGGTCTTGCTAAATTGCCCATGTTGGTCTTGAACTTGCAGTCCTCCTAAGTAGCTGATTATAGACACGAACTACTATGCGCAACTATGCTCTGCTGTTCTTTTTTTTGTTGGCAGTACTAGGAATTAAACTCAGGGCCTTTGTACTGAGGTCCATTCTTAGTCTGCCTTTATTTATTGAGACAGAGTCTAAGTTGCTAAGTTTCCCAGGCTGGGGCTTAAACCTGAGATCCTCCTGCCCTTAGCCACCAGAAGCAGCTTGGTCTACTGACTTTATTTTCTTTTTTGACACTGGGGAACTCGAGATCTTGCGCTTTTGAAACAGGCCTTGGAACTACTGAGCTAAATCCCTGGCCCTATTTTCTTTTTTGAGACATGGTCTTGCTATGTGGTTCAGGTGCAATTTGAACTTACTATGTAGCCCAGCTAGCCTTGCTCACAGTGATCTTCCTGTCTCAGCCTCCCCAGTGCTGGGATTACAGGTATGCAGCACCACGCCCGGCCATTTTTGAAGCATTCTCTTATCTTCTCTTTACTTTCTGCCTCCAGGACTAATCCTTGGTGTCTTCTAAAGGTTCCTCATCAACTTTTCATACTCTAAATGTTAGACTATCTCAAATTTTAGTCACTCCAACCTCAAGGCTTTAAGTGCCATCTGTCTGCTGAATGATAAACTGCAAATGTCTGTCTTTAGCTGACACTACTCAAGGTCAAGCTTGTATAAGCAACACTTCACACTTCTGTATTCTACCCTCATCCAGTAAATGGCAATGCCTTTCTTGTAGTTGTTCAAGTTACAAAGTCCTGTAATTATCCTAAGTTCTTTTTCTAACTGTACAAATCAAATGCCACCTGTCAGCAGTCCAGCTGGTTCTACTCTCAAAACACATTCAGGATCCCCCCATTTATTACCAGCATCATTCCTACCCTCCAGTCCTACCTACCCAGTCTTGTTATTATTTTTTTGTTTTTCATTTTTTTGAGACAGGGTCTTGCTGTGTAGTATAGGCTGGACTTGAACTCAGTATGTAACCCAGGCTGGCCTTGAATTCATAGCAATCCTCCTGCCCAAGTCTCCAGAGTGCTGGGACTACAGGCATGTACCACCACACCCAGGACTAGGGCCAGTAAGGTTCTTAAGAGATGAGGTCATGGCCAGGGATTTAGCTCAGTGGTTCCATTGCTTGCCTCACAAGCACAAGGGCCCAAGTTCGATTCCCAGTACTAAATAAATAAATAAACGAGGTCACTTCTGTGCTCAAAACTACACAGATTTTTTTGCTCACCATGTCTTTACCACGACATACAAAGCTCTGGAGATCAGTGCCTATTAAATCAAATTATCTGGGGATCTTAAACTACAGAGCTTTAGGCAGGCATGGGGGTGCACGCCGTAATCCCAGCTTCTTGGGAAGCTGAGGCAGGGGGATCACAAGTTTGATGCCAGCCTGAATAATTAATGATACTGTGTCTCAAAATAAAACAAGAAGACCTGGGGTATAGCTCAGTGGTAGACTGCTTGCCTAGCAGGTACAAGGCCCTGGGTTCAATTGCCAGCACAAAAAACAAAAAACAAAAAAAGAATCACCATTTGTTTAAAAAACTGATGAACAGCTTGCTAGTGCACAGCCTGTGCTGCTGGTGACACACAGCCACACAGTCCAGATGGAACAGTACATCTGAGGGCTCCTAGTGGTGCTTGCCAGCTGCCCACCCGACATCCCCACACTGCCTTCCCAATGACATGTTCTGGGCTTCTTGTGATAGACTCTGTCAGGTCCACTAATCTGGCTAGTACCATTTCCCTATCAGGAGTCAGAGGAGGAAGCACACGATCTGCTCTAGCTGGGTCTGTTGGGAGCCCTCTGGTAAAGTTTTGAAAACAGAAAAAGCAAAAATGACTTTCTCCACTTCTGGACCTCAGAGCCAGAAGCTGCCATCTGGCTCTGTGGTACAAGGGCCAAGCGGGGAGAGGCTGAAATATATTCCTGAGTGGCTGCACTGACTCAGCCTTCTTGTAGATAACAAATGAAGTATGCCACTATCCCTGTTACAGATGAAGAAACTGAGGCACAGAGGGAATTAAGTAATTTGTTCAAGGATTGAACAGTAGAACCAGGATTCAAACCAGGCGTCCTGGCAGTCTTTAGTGTACACACACTGCTCTAGAACCGGATAAAACCGATTCCAGAAAGTACAGTGGCATTACGGGGTCTTGTTAGTGATGCATAAGTTGCTTTGGAACATTTAGTTTTCAGAAGGTAACTGCACAATGCCTATGGTCCTGTGTCACGTAATGTTTTTTCAGCTGATGATGGACCACATATAGGAAGGTGGCTCCACAAGATTATAGTGGAGCTGAGAAACTGCTGTCCCTAGTGAGGTTCTTTAGCCATTGAAATGTTGTTGCACAGCATGTTATTCACTTGCTTATACTGAGGCTGGTATAACAAACCTACTCTATCACAAGCTTATAAAAGTACAGTACAGGGCAGGATTTAGCTCAATGGCACAGCGCCTACCTGGGAAGCGCAAGGTACCGAGTTCAATCCCTGGTACCAAAAAAGAGAAAAGTACAGCACATATAATTATACATAGTATGTGCTACTTGGTTATAAACAAGTGTTACTGTCATTTTAATGTATATTCTTTCTCTTTTCAGTGCTGCGGATTGAACCCAAAGCTTCACACATGCTAGGAAAGCACTCTATCCCTGCGCTGTATCCCCAGCCCTAGAGTTTGCCCAATAGAACTTAGGTGTGTAGTAGGTTTTATCAACTAGGTTTGTGCAAGCATACTCTGTGATGTAAAATGAAAAAAATCACCTGCCAGCAGGGTTCTCAGAGCACACATATATCCTCATCCTCTTCCTGAAGCACTACATGACTATTTGGTATGGTGTTAAAACTCTGCATGTTTTTTTCCATTAATGCACATCTTGGAAACTATTCTAAAAAAGCATTACCTAAAAAAAGGCCAAGTCAAGTCCCAGATATTGAGAATGCTTCCTTCTCCTATAACTCTTAAATCCATCATGACTTTATTTTAGTTTTGGTAAGGATAAGGAGCAAAAATAATTTTCTCCCAAAGATCACTCATTTCACCAAGTCTATTAAATAATCCACAGAAGGCAGATAATGTAATCCTTGCCATACCATGCAATGTGAGGGGAAAAAACCAAGCGAACCAGAAAGACATTTTCCTTGCCCTGGATGGCAATGTGTGGTGTGGTTGTTTTGAAATGCTAGATGCAGTGGTCACTGTGCAGTCTTACCTTTGAGCTGGGATGGCAGATGTCTAATGGACACTACCTCTTGTACTACATACTGGTTAACACTTCCACTTTTCAACAACTCTTCTGGGGATAAAGGCAGATGGAACTCGTACAGCTGGGGAGACATCCTTCTCCCACTGGCTCACGGGCTAGAGATCAAACAGCAAAACAGTTAAGAGACTAAATCTTAGGCTTAATCTGTCACTTAATCTGTTTCTATTATATTCCCACCTCCAGTATGATTTTAATCTTATAACAAGCTGATGACATCATTTTTGAGGATGCCATGTCAACCCCGGGCTGGAATCCAACTGTTGTCCTAACTCTGCTACCTGGTCCTGTCACTTAACCCTTTTGGATTCAACAGCAAAACAAGGTCCCTAATCTCTGATCACAAAGTTGCTCTGAGGACCAGATGGATCACGGAGCACAAAAGTGTTAAAAGAAGTGTAACGCGGCGCATCAGTATCCAAAGTTCAGCGCTGAGAGCGTCCTGCTCGAGGCCAGAGTGGTAGCCCGTCCTGGGCTGGAGGGTTTCCTTGCTCCAGAATGGGCAGCATTAACGTTACTACAGTCACTCTGGGTCACACTCTGTTCGGCTACTCGAATATGCCACATTCAATCTAACTCTTCTCGTCTTAACCCTGCGGAGTGTATAATACAGCAAATACCACGACCTTTACAGATGCGGAATTCAAGGCTAGGCGATTGCCCGAGTTACACTCATTTCGTTCCGGAGCGGGTTATACTCACTGTTCTACCACATCGCCCCGCAAGGATATACCTTTTAGACTGCCCTTGTGACTGCAGATTGCCTAGGATTGCGTCCAACCGCGCGTACCCGACTGTCTCAGCCCTTTACTCAAACAGCACCTCTCTTCAGAGCACCTCGTCGCCTCCGCAGACGCTGAGATCCCGCTGAAATGCAAGGAGGAGGGGAACCACGAGTGCACAATACGCACCAATCAGCGAGACTGCTTTGACGTTGGTCGAGAAACCCGCTAATCCGCGGCAGGCTGAGACCAAGGCCCGCCTCCGAGGCTGGCGCAGCGCGGGCCAAACCACCAACACCGAGTTCAAATTCCAACGGCTACCAGGGGTCCAATCGCGCCACTCACTGAAGCGATCAGCCAATCACAGCAGGGAACCCCTCCGCGAGGGGCGGAGTCTTCCCGGGCGCCCGACTGCGCCCCTGGGCAGAGGGGAGGGCGCTCTGCTGGCCAGAAATGTCCAGTTCCTAGCAGGGCAGAGGCCCTGCCCCTGGAATAGTGACCCACTCAGGCACCCCCAGGACAGGAGGCAAGTGCAGGCTGGAAGTGAGAAGGCTCGTGCCCTAATCCAGGGCCTGCCATCTCCGCCTAGTGTCGTACAGCAGGTCGCAGAGCCTCAAAATCCCTTCCCTGTAAAATGGGAGTAGTGGAAAAACAGCGCACTACTGTCGTGAAGCAGGCAAAAGGGCTTGGTCTCTGAACACTCCGAAACTCTGCCTTCCAGAAGCTGGTCCTTCATCGCCCTCACCGCTGAGGTACACCCGAAGGGGCGGGGAAGGGTGAATTTTCTTTGAATTTCAGTTTTGAGAAGCCCTCGCGGCAACCACTGGCGTTCTCAGCTCTTCGGGTGCTCCAAAACTTCCGGCGTGCAGACCGGAAGCTCCCAGAGTGGGCGCATGGTCTGCGCCTCTGTCTGCCGGAACTTTGGGGGCGGGCTCGTCGCTGAGCGGGGCTGCGCGCAAGGCTACCTGGGTAGGGGCCAAGATGGCTCCTCAGAGGCTTCTATCGGGACAGTTCGCTTTGGCATCTCCTTGAGGGCCACGCCTGGTCCACATTCTCGGGCTCACTTGATTTGCTGTTGAGAGGAGCAGACTAGAGCAATGGCAGGGGCCCTCTCTTGGAGACCTGGTAAGGGCCTATGGGTCTGGATGACTTTGGGCTGCAGAAACTTCTCTCTGGGTAAGTAAATGGCTTACATAGATAGACTGCCCGAGAGCTGCTTCTTGGTAAGCGGCTCGGATTCAACCCATCTCTTCCCCATCCCTAGGTGTTCCAGAATTGTCCCGTATAAGGCTCACCCTGCCGCCTCCCAAAGTGGTTGATCGTTGGAACGAGAAGAGGGCCATGTTTGGAGTATATGACAATATCGGGATCCTGGGTAAGAACTTGCTGCTCAGGAAGACACATCTGCGGGCTGAAGATGTAGCTGGGGGAGGCTGAATGCTTTTGTCTTGGAATTAATATGTCCTTTCACATTTACAGGAAATTTTGAAAAACATCCCAAAGATCTGATCAGGGGCCCCATATGGCTTCGAGGGTGGAAGGGAAATGAACTGCAGCGTTGTATCCGAAAGAAGAAAATGGTTGGAAATAGAATGTTCATTGATGACTTGCACAACCTTAACAAACGTATCAACTATCTCTACAAACACTTTAATCGTCATGGGAAGTACCGGTAGAAGAAAAATCTGGGCTCTGTAAGAGGCACATCTGTCTCCTTGGAGAGGGGAATGGGACTTTCCCTATGAGAAAAGGGTTTTGTATGCTTACTAATAAAATGAGGCTGTGGAATCTGATATCCACTCTATTTTTGTCTAAGTGCTGCTTGTATTTATTCATGTAGGGTATGGAGTCTGACTTAATCCTTAAGTCTTAGGGTTTTAGCTTTGGGTTTACAGCCTATACTTATGGCCTTAAAAAAGAGAAGTTGGTGAGAATAATTTATTGTTGGCATTTTTCGATATTGGCCCTTTATGTATTGAAAATGATTTTGTTTTGTTTTTTGCTGCTGTGCAAGCTAGGCAAGTGCCTTACCACTGACCTAGATCCCCAATCCCTTGAAAGTGATAATTTCTAATGTCCCATAATGCTGTTAGGCTTTTTAGTTTTGTTTTGCTATTTGAGATGGGGTCTCACCATGTATTCCAGGCTGGCCTTGAACTCATGACAGTTTTTCTACCTCAACCTCCGAAGTGCTAGGATTGCAGATATGTAACCCCATGCCTGGCGATGCTGTTAAGTGTTTCTAAAGACCTTTCCAAACTCAGGTAAAATATAATAGAAAAATGTAATTTATATTTTTGTACTTTGTCATAGAAATATTTATTAGATGACTTCTCTGAATAGGAATTATAGGAAAATGAAGTATAAAGTGTCTTGTGTACTTTAAAGTATCAGATACCATGTGAATGGTATAGATGGGTTACAGAGTCTTAACTAGTTATCAGAACTATCTGGGTAGTTTAATATTTTCAAAAATTGGTCCCACAGGGCTTAGTGGTATACACCTGTAATCCCAGCTACCTGGGAGACTGAATCGGGACGTGTAAATTCAAGGTCAACCTGGGCAACTTAGACCTGTCTGAAAACAATAAAAAGGGATAGAGATGTAGTTTAGTGGTAGAGTACTCACCTAGTATACACAAGGCCGTGGGTTCAGTCCAAGCATTGCAAAAAAAAAAAAAAAGCCTGGTCCCAATGTAGACTGATAAGTAGTGATGACCTGAGTCTTGGGCATCTATGTGGGTGTTTGGGTTTTTTTTGCATGTGTGTGGTACTAGGGATTGAACCCAGGGCCTTGAATATGCTAGGCAAGTGCCCTACCACTAAACTACCCCCCAGCCCTGTTTGTTGTTTAAAGATTATCCATCCATACAAGTGCAGAATAGGGTAATTGGGTGGAAAATTTTCCTGCAACCTCTTTTTGCTCTTCAGAAGCAACCACTCAATTTACCTTTTAATCCTTGTGACATTTATTGTGTGTGTACAAGTTTATACTGTTCTTTTTTTGGTTTTGTTCTTTTGAGTAGGAAAACTTTATTGAGAGAAAGAAAGCTTCTGTCTAAGAGAGACAGATGGGACCAGAAAGTGGGTTACCCTATTTGTGTTTTTTTGAGACAGGTTCTTACTATGTAGTCCAGGCTGGCATTGAACTCATAGCAGTCCTCTTGGCATGGCCTCCCAAGTGCTGAGATTACAGGTATGGGCCACCATGCCCTGCTGATGTATTGCTTTTAAATAAATCCTTTAGGTAGACTAAAAACTATTTGTCCTTCAGGCAGATTTTTCAGTTTGATGTGAGCAAATCTCTGTTATAAATTGTCAGTGAAAATGTTGGCTTAGGTTTGTAGCTCAGCGGTAGAACACTTGCTTAACACGTGCAAGGCTCTGGATTCCACCTCCACTACTGCAAAGGAAAAAAGCTTGGAATTAGGTCTGTGTTTGAGTTCAAGCTCTTCTCTTTTTTTTTTTTTGGTATCAGGGATCAAACTCTGGACCTTATGCTTGCAAAGTAGGCAGCAGAACCACTGAGTTAAATCCCTGGCCCTAAGTTCTTTTTCTTTGTGTATGATTCCAGAGTATGTGGTTAATTTCCATGAGCCTCAGTTTTTTAAATCCTGTCAGGAATAATACAGACCTTTATGTCTAGGGTTGTGTTACAAATAAATGAAGTTGTGTACACTAGTAGTACAGCCAGGTGTGGTGGCATCTGCCTAATTCCAGCACTTGAGAAGCTAAGACAGGAGGTTGAGTTTGAGGCCAGCCTGTGCTACACAGTGAGGCCCTGTCTGAAAAAAAAAGTACAGCGTTTAGCAAGTGTATACATGTATACAGTAATGAAATCTGAAGAACTGAATGAAAATTATTTTCAAGTTAAAGGAGTATTTCAAATTGAGGAAGAAGTGCTTGTAGATAGGAGTTGGGCTTGAAGGTAGAGGAATGAGTGTTCCCAATCTTTTAAGCCCTTGCTACAATGATTATTATTACAGAACAATCCACTCTAAGACATAATCACCAAAAACAAGTTATTGGTCCACATTCTCTAGGTTATTTGGACTTAGCTGGTTGGTTCTGCTCCATCTGTTGTGGGTTGGATAGATCAGGAGGTTGTTTTCCATTCTGAGCCTGCCTGGGGCCAGCGTGGCTGGTGTCTTTCTTTTTCTGCATCGTTTTATTGCTCAGTAGTAGAGCCCAGACCACTTCACACAGAAGCTCTGTTCTTGAGGGCAAAAGTAGAAGTTGCAAAACTCTGGGGTGTTGCTTGCTGGACATTCTGTTGGTCATAGTGTCATGAGCCAGCCCAGATTCAAGGAGGTAGCAAGGCATGTGTTTTAGTTAGAGCAGCCACACACAGTGACAGGGACATGAGAAAGTGCTGGGAGAGGACAGACAGCCTAGTACAGTAACATTGCTTGCCCCCTTTGGGACCTCTGATACAGTCAACAAAAGTCAGTCAGGTCAATGAGTGGACTGTGGAGAGTGGATCAGTGCGTGTCTATGAAAGTGCCTTGCGATCTGGTCTTCCGCCTGTGCATTCGCAGTGAGTTTTCTGAGGGTGGCTGGGAGGGGCCCTACGGAGAATGCAGCAGCTGATGTGAACTGTGAGTGGCTGTGACATTGGTGTGATTTGATGGGACTGGGATGGAGAAATAAACTCCAGTGCTTAAGACTGCTAAGGTAAGGAGCTCTGAAAACTAGACATGCTTTAGTAGAAAATATGATTGTTAGTGAAGAGGAAATTAATAGGGCAAGAGGCATTTCTGAAATACTTCCTGCTGTGAAAATACAAAGGTCTTGTTTCCGAGGACAGAATAATATTGCTTGTGCTTGGAAACATTATAGAACATTTTCTTTCACTAAACACTGAACCATTATGTACAAGGGTACTTGGAGGAGTTTGGCTGGGCTCTGTCTCAAAAAACAAAAACCAAAAAGAATAAATCACCGAGGTAGGGTTGGTTCCTAGTTCATCCAACTTGTGTAGAATATGTATGTGAACAAAATATGAATTTGAATATGATAATTGCATAGGAAAATTAGAGTTCTCTGAGGGGTTTTTTTTTTTTTTTCAGAGGATAAGAGTATTTGTTGACCAGATGGCACTTGAAGTAAGTCTTGGCAATCAGTGGCAGAAACAGGAATCAGTGTATAGGTGTAGAGGAGGAGAGTAAAATAGATTCCTAATACAATTGTGATTGTATTATTGTGATTGTATCTATTCTTGGAGCAGGAATGGCAGGGAGGGCTTTCTGGAGGAAGCAGCCACTGGATTCTCTCTCTCTTTTGCAGTATGGGGAATGATTGAATTCAAGGGCCCTTGCTCTTGGAAGACAGGCGTGGCACCACTGAGCTGAGCTAAACCCCCAGCCCGCCACTGGATTTTCTTTTCTTTTTTTTTTTTTAATTAAAGATTGCAAAGATACATGATAACAAGAAATGAAGATACTAAATAAAAATTTCAAATATACATATATATGACAGCAAAAAAAGATATGAAATAAGAATTTATATAACAGACTAATCGAAATACATTAGTTTGATATGATCTTCAAACATTATGTTCTTTCTTATTTTCTTATAATATTTTTGAAATAATGTAATTATAAATAAAACAAAGTTACATATTATAGTTGAGAAACTGTCCTCAAAATTTAATGATTTATAAACTCCTTGGTTTAATTAACTGATAAATATCATATACTTGTTGATTGTACCACTTACGTTTTCTAACAAAACTTACCACAGAAAAAAATATATTTGAAATCCAAAAGCAACTAAAAAAATTCACATTTTTAATATCAGATTTTTCTCTTTCTATTTTATTATATCCCATGCTTATTTTTATTATATTTTTATAAGCATAATGATAGAATTTAACACCAATAGATATGTAATATTCTTCCCAAACGAATGACTATGAAGTCAAGCATGTAATTTAAAGAAGTCATAAGGTTGCCAGAGAAACTATCAATATGCCAAATGTGCACAATCCTACCACATTCATGCCCATGTTTCTCATTTAATAGTGCACACGTATATGTAAAAACATACCCCCCACATATACACAATGCATATTTTCTACAAATCAATATATACTTAGGTATAATAAAACAGTGCAGTGATGTGTGGAATGTTGGTGATTTGTATAATTTGAGAAAAAACATATCATCTTTGAAGGAGTTGGAGAATTTGTAATATATATCAGATACTAAATGATATTAATGATTAAGTATAGTTATAATAAAATTTACTTAAAAATTAATATCATCAGTAGAAAATAGGTACAAAGATATATTGATAACATAACAACATTTATCTTAACAAATTTCCAACCAAACAAGCTGTAGTGACAGAAAAGGAAGTTTGTAGAAAGCAGAGATGAAAGAGGAAAATGACAGATGGGCCTTAAAACTTTTCATACTACTCATATATACAGATTTCATAAATTCTCAAATAAAAAAGTAAAGAAAATGAGAACCAAAATAACTCATCAATTTGGTAGACCAACACATAGAGACAAGGATTAATGTATTGATAAATTTTAAAAATATGAAATGTAAAGCCTGAGATTTAGCTCAATAGTGCTGCACCTGCCTAGCCAGAACAATGTGCCGAGTTTAATCCCCAGCATCAGAGGAATTGGTTATTGGTTATAACTGATATGTACTAACTTATTATTATCGTGGGTTGTTTTTTTTTTTTCGTCTTCTTTTAGTTTCTAGGCTTGCCTATTTGATTTGTTCTGTTGGGCCTCATTGTGTTGTTACGTCTTTTTCTCTTGATTGGTGAATTGAGGCCGTTAATATT